GTGTGTATAATTTCATAGGCTGCACAGGAAAGTCATGTGATGTCCACATCAGATGTTTTTGAATTAGTGAAACCATAACTGAAGTTAATACAAATGTGTCGCTTGTGCGCGTGTGTTTAAAATATATACCTATTCAAATTATTTTAATAATTCAATTCTTGTTACTGTAAAGCTATCTCATCAAAGAGAAGGTAACATTATAGAAACAGTATGAGAATATGATGAATACTGTGATTCAATGGTGTACGTTTAATTGATATAAATTTGTTTCTTATTTGCAAAAACATTTACAGTTTAACATATAGCAATAAAGTATTGATGATAATCAATAGGAATCTATAGCATAGCTCCGGACTGAGGGTCAGAATATTCATGTGTATTGAAACCTGCTCTCCTATAAAATAATATCGGTGCTTTATCGCCAAGGAGCAGGATTTAGGACAAGAAATGAATATGCGTTTATTCTTGTCCTAGTCGGCCGCGTTTTACAGAAAATGGTATGACCCCGGATTGGTAATGATGGTAATGATTTACAGAAAATTATATAATCCCCAAAACCTATTCATATTCTGTATTAGTATTAGATGTGTAAGCCGACGTGCGTTCATATGCATTTTATAACGAACATTAAGAACAGTTTTTATACTATCTGTAAGTAAGTCACAACAAATAAAATAGAAAGGGCAAATCAAAGTACACGCAAAATAAAAATAAGTATGTAATGATGCAATGTGCATATATATACCTAAATCACAATTACTTTATAAACACATCTCACATTTTATTTACTTGAAATTTATGTAAAATTACTTTAAAAGCATATAATTCTTAAAAACTACTGCATTATTATTAGACGCGTTTCTCTCTGAGCCCATCATTCGTATGATAACTAACTATAATATACAGCAGCGTTATAAAGACATTATTTCGTATAATAAAGAAAAAGCAGGTTCACATCAAATACATTGATGAACAAAACTCTAACGCGTAATTTCTTTGCTTGTGTATAATAATCATATGAAATATTTTCATAAAGAAAACAACATTTTGATGATGAGAAAACAGTTAAGGTAAATTATTTGAGAGAAATATTGTATTAAGCAACTTACTTGTAATTAGTATTTTAGAAAGGTAAGAAATTTTGTTACTCTAAATGTTCAGAAAATTCAATATACATGCTTTAGGGAGGAAAAAATATTATTCTAAAGCAAACTTTATTAAATCAAGCAAAATACTTTTTGCACTTCATTTTATTAATTTAATTTCCATGCAAAATGAGGTTGTTAGAATATCTGTAATCTGTTTTTCTCTACCTTTTTTTCCAAAATATTAGAGATTACAGTGAAATTTTGTGCATGTTTTTGTCGAATTACAGAAACGGGTGAATAAGTTAATCCTGTTTGCCGAAGGCTAGACAATCCCATCTCGAGTGTAATTCTAATTTCTTGAGAAATTCATCAGAAGAATGATTTTAGTAGATTCCTTACTTCAAATCATAACGCAACTCCGGAATATTATTTTAAGCTATACAGCGAAAAATATGAATCGTATTAGCAACGAAAAATATGTAACTTAATATTTTTCTTCTTATTTTATTATGAAATTATCCAAGGATGAAAAAATATTTGAGCACATTTAAATTTCTGATCGCGGGAAATTGAATTCATAGTTTAAGATTTCAACGTTCGACGAGAAAGATTCGTAATTAAATAATTCTTTGCTTCCAAAAGTAAGTGCATCAAAATAAGAAGAAATTAATATAAATAGCTCAATGTGTAAAACCAAAATCATACGTTCTTGTTACAGGGCAAATATTATACATCCATGCTGAGATACGAAATTATGAAAGGCTGCTGAATGCAGAGCATCGGATTTATCTCAAAAAGGGTTTTATAAGAGACAAAAAATGAAACTGTAACAAACTTTCAAGCGAAAATTCTGAATTATTTCGAAACTGTGTTCTTTTCTTCATGATGGAACACTTACAAATTATGTTCGCTAAAAAAAAAGGATAGTTAGAAAAATTATGCTTTAATTCAAATTTTCATAAAACATAACTCCAGTATTATATTTCTCTTCTTTTTTATTGCCTTAATGCTTTTTCTCCGAAAACTCACTTATAATGCTAAGCCGTTTTACTTCCTCGTAAGGGAGTATTGTAACTGCGAAAAACTTGGGGTATCATGTTTAAACAAAAATATCCATTACGTCCATTCAGAATCCATTTGGAAGATTTTTTTGCATGACATCAGTACGTGCGGACAGAATAAAGAGCTGTTTCTCCAAAACGCACTGTAAAATAGATTTAAAATGGATTGAAAAAAAAAAAATTTTTTTTTCCTGCTGCCTGTTTGTACATGTATATGTATCTTTCATAACTCAAAACCATAAAAGCCGTAGCATGTTGATATTTTTGCATATGCAACTGCTGTAACATCTAGTAGTTGCCCTCCCTTTTTTATTGCAATCAGCAATACCATATATATATATTTTCTTCACAAATTGGTACTTTTTAAGTCCACATTCTTGATCCAATACATTATAATGTTTTATCAAAGACTGATTTCTGTTGTAATCCCACTTATCATGTAATGCATTAGTAACACCAGTTATAACACAGATTTCTGATTCTCACATTTTGGATAATCTTTCAGCATATCGTTCATGATATCGGATTTGACGTGTTCGAGTGAACTTTGAGTAATTGTTTTCTACTTGTCAATGATAACACGTCTTACTCTTACTAGACTGAGAATCATGTCTATAAGTATCAAAATTTTCAAGAAAAGCAGTTTTAAATTATCAGATTTGGGAATGCTTATGTTACGGTATCATACGCTTTTTAAGATAATATTTTCTCTCTGAAAGTATAATCTTGAAAATTATACCCGTCATATATCAGTAGCTTAGCATTTAAAAATAAATTAATGCACTAATTTTCCCCTCTTTTTCACGTCAAAAATGTCACTTACTCCGCACATTAGTCTATTAATATAATGATATTAAATTAACAGTAATACTTTTTGCAGAATATGTGTAAAATTATTTTAATGGAACCTCTTCAGCAAATATGTTTACAAATGTTCCTTACGTAGGACCTGAATTATTAGAAGTAATTGCAGAATAATATTCCAAACGTGACAGCATGATACTTGCAAAGCAAGAGTTTTGAAATAAGAAATAATATGAGATTTCTGCCTATGAGAAGGGCGCTGCCGCTTGCACTTTTAATGAGTATGAGGAAACAAATTGCGATAGAAAAATATAAGACGCAGAGCACGAGGGTACTAGTGAAATGTACTTGAATAATTGACTATGCAATAAATATCAGGAAAAAGATTTTCCCTTTTAACTGGCGATTGTAATATTACCAAGAAACGTAAATAGCTTCATTTGCATTTCGTGTTCTGAGTATAAATGTGCAGGTAAAATAAGAAAGAATGCAGCTTATTTCTTATTCTTTAACGATGAGAATATCTTTACTTTTAAACTGTTACGAAGAATATTTTGCTTTAAAATAATGATATACTGTTTAATGCTTTAAATTTAATATAATATTAATTAATATAATTTGTGCAAGAGAATACATACATTATTCACTTAAAAATGAATTGATTGAAAAAAACTCAGTAAATAACTAATTATTTGGAATGCACTTTTCTGTCGTTTTTCTGTATGATGTGTTACATGAAGTCTCAAAACAAGTTTACACTTTTTATAACTCTTACCATAAAGCGAATAACTTTGGAAAATGTATTATTCTGACTTAAAGGACCCAAAGAATATTCTCTGTTCTTTCTAAAAATTATAAACAGATCAGTGCGAGACTGTAGTATTGCAGATATGCTAATGTATCCAACCCAGACAAAGGAATAAACTGATTTGTATCACATCTGCTTACAACATCCCCCATTTATTTTGTGTGAATGATACTAGAAAACGTGAGTTATCTGTCCATACATTACGCAAACTTCACTTGATAATGCTGCTGTTATACAAGCCTATTTCGATATACGAAGCTGTTAACATGAATCGCAATTGTAAAAGCAAAGCAAATGCAAGAATGCAGGAATGTATTCCTATATCAGTTTATACACTTATACGCAAAATTAAGAAAATTTGCAAGAATTTGCATTTTTGCGAAAAGTATTGAGCCAAAAGTTCTAATTACGCCACCAAAGAAATATGTATATATTGAGTCGATTAGGTAACACGTGGTGGGGATGTAAGCGCACGAGGACTTTTCGGCGGTTTGTTTGCTCGTACTCCTCGTCATAAGAACAGGAAGATTACACGAGTTAAATTTAGAAGTTCAGTATTTATTTCTGGATGCCATCTTAATTTAATTTCAAATATATTAATCATTATTTATCTTCATTCTAATAATTTTTACCTGTATGTTAATCGGACATAATTGATCAAAATTTTCATATCATTTCTAATCTCAGAACTGTGTACAATATAAATCAAATAGTATTACATTATGAAAGTACGTCTCCTTAAATATTAGAAATAATCCGTTTTATCTCTGTACGTTGCTAAATACTTATGCGTTGCTGCCAGGCGTTGGAGAAGATATTGGATATGAACCATACCGTTGTCTTCGGTATTCTGCATTTTAAAATACTTCTGAAACTTGTTCAAATAATACTTTTTTCTTTTATTTTACTTTTCGTACTTTGCCAACAACGAAAATGTCTCTCATCCCTCAAAAAATAGCATTTAAAATGTATTTTTACTTTTTCCTTTTCGTGTAAGGATTCAGATTTTATACGTTTTCAACTGTAAAAACGGAATCTAAGGAAAAAATATTCAGCCACAAAAAGTGACGTCACAGAAGATTGTGCCTGAGGTTTTATGGCGCCATAACTAAATAACAACATACCATAAAAAGCTTCGACGTTCATGGTTGAATGAACATTTCTTTCGCCCAGCGACATTTTAAATCGAGTTTTAACTTTGTCCTTCCAGTAATTTTTTCCTGACTCTCTTTCTTTCAGAAAGCACAGCTGGAGACTTTACTTACGTTCATTCCAGTCCTCGGGCTCATCGTTACAACAACGGTACGTTGGTACTATCCGACGTGGAAGAAAATGATGCAGGGTCCTACTTATGCCAAGCAAGCAATAGCATTGGTGCCGGACTCAGCAAAATCATCACGTTACAAGTCTTAGGTGAGACTTCGCATCTCTTTTTTTCTCCTTTTCCTTTTACGACCTAAAGATATGTTTGCGGTTAGCACTGAATTACTGGCGGGGCTTCCTACAAATCTAATAAGTATTAACATTATCTGCAAGTGGTTAAATGTAGCCGTAAATATCTGAATATTATTTCTTCAAAAATTCGGTATTTAGGGGTAAACTTATAATAATAGTTCATAAAATATTTTATGATTCTGTTGCTAAACGTAATTTCGAAAATAATTCATATTTGTTTCCTTCAATGCATATGATATAACACTTTTTCGCGCAACAATAAGTATATAAAATCAGTAAATGATTTAAAATTTATAATTATTGACGAAGGTCCCGAAAAATCTACTTTCTTTCTTTTCACCGAAGGCGGCGCAGCCTACCCATTTGGGATATTAGCATATAGGCCAGGTGGTCCGTCTGACGGAATTAATATTGTTACAAAATTCCTGGATTGCAGGCTATCCAGGGCTGTTGAAGGGACAAATAAACTAATGCGTTTCATTTCTTTTCAAAAGTCTCGCACTTTGTTGTGTTTTGTGCAAGACGAGTGCTGGACGAGTAAATGAGTGGAAGAAAAGCGCAATGCAGGTGAAGAAAACAATTTCAGTTTCCACATGTACAGAGATAGATATATACAACGTATGATCTATTAACAGGCTTCAACAAAGTGAACAATTTAGGCATTCTGAAGATAATTACAATACAGATATAAAGGTATGACTGAGTTACATGGATGTACTTGGCACAATCATCTATATAATACATTAAGTGTGACAATAAATAATTAACAGATTTAGTAATGGAAAAAGTTAAAATAATAGATAATAGATTAATTAAGGTAATATAGAATATACACAATTATTCGAGATTAAATCAGAGTGCATGACATTAATTTAAAGAAAATTAATATACATATATATATAAATTGTAGTAAGCTCGCCTAAAAGTTACCAAGAGCTGCTGCTCCAAAAGGTTTAACACGTTTTCAAAAAATTAATACACATGAAAATCAAATCATTAGACATGTAAAACATTAATAAAATTAAAAAACAGAAAAAGTTAAAAAGTAAGCGGAAAATGGTAAATTAGCCCAATTCGACTTCCAAACAGGCTTTTCAAGGGAAATTTCATTTATTTGAACGTCGAATCAAGCTAACTCCATTACGCGTTTCGCCGAAACAGATAATTGAAACTTTTTCGCTAATTTTTTTTTTAATTTAGACAAAGTGTCTTGGAAATTTTAATAGTCTCAATTCTCTGTTCCAATTTCCCGACGCGTCCGCACAGAATGACACATTAAGGTGTTAAAATATGTAAATCAAAACCTAAACTTCCTAAATCTAGACTAAAATTAAAATCAAAAACGAAAATAAATAGCGATGAGCTATTAGTCCTAAAAATACAAAAACATACGGGCTGGGCCTGCAAGCTTAAAGATTAACAATTTAATTTTTAAATAATAGATTTTAGAAAACTATAATGAAAACCTGTAATTAATATAAAATAAAACAAAAATTAAGAAGAGAACAAACTCAGTGGGTCTTGCTAAGACCAAGAAAAAGTTGTAACAAAAGAAACAAAAACTGTATACATACACATACACACAAATTAAATTTTAAGAACTCATAAGAAAGAAAAGCTATAAAGGGAAATAAAAATAAATACAAAAGAGCAGAAAATGCTAACTTGAATAAAATACTAATAATATAAATGCGCAAAACATTATTATTAAAATAAATAATAATACATTAAATGGAAATGCAGAACACATAGATCCTTCGCTGGCAAAGATAAGAGATCTGCTGAAAAGCTGGATTTAAACTGGCTTAAAAATATCTTATTGCAATAGGATTATTGTTAAAATGTTATATATTATAAAATATTGTAATACTCTATTGTTTTCAGAGCCGTTGGCGTGATCTGTATAGTACGTTGAGATGAGTGTAAGTTGAAAACTTATTTATTGATATTATTAATATTAATTGCATTATCTTTCAAGGGGCTGATGAAACTTGACTCTGTGAACATAATGTGTTCTTCTTGCTAACTGCATACATGGACTTAGATGCTAAATTTATTTGCTACAGTGTGTTTGCTGCTACTTTCTAGCCTAACTAAAGCTTTCGCTCAGCTCGCTGGCCTCACTTTGGGGAGCCCTGAGCTGTCGGCTCCATAAAAGAATGGGAGCTGACAGCTAATGAAAGATGATAGATACCTTGCCTGTGGAAACATAAAAACTCTATAGAAAAACGTCGAAACAAGCAAGAGTTATAAATATGTAAAACAGCACAAATATCATAATATAGTGTACAGCACAGTACGTGTACATAACATGCTGCTGGTTGTAAAGTCACTGAACGCGAGATTGCTGGATAAATGCAAGGAAACCTAATAGTTAATAAGAAATTATGCTTAAGGGAACACAGAGACCTTGATAAAACATTTTCTCTAAAACCTGGCGTAATAATATACAGGAGAGGAAAAAAATGTCTCGGAATGGAGTTAAGAAGAAAGTGAGTCATATAAGGTCTCACGTTATACACTTCGTTCTACAGTTCCGTAGGTCACTAACTGCATAGTGCTAGGGAGCCAGAGAACCGGGCCACCACACCCAATCCATCGAAACGGGAATGATCTGTTCATATGGCTTCGAACATCCAGTCCTAGATGAGCAGGCCCCTCCATCATGTTGGAACCATATGTTCACAAGCTCTCTGTTCGAATAGCGTTTCATGGCCTTCGTATGATGTCTACCGCTCGAACGGGGCAATCCTCGCTTTCCACTAGCACTCTCCTGTACAACACTCTCTGGCGGCGTATAGTGACGGTCTCTGGCGGCGTATAGGGGTTCCTACACAATTCTTAATCTTTATGATGTGCCCTACTTTTACCAGAAGTTTGTCGCAACGTTTATGGGACACCCTGTATTAATCATAAAATTAAATTCTGGTTCTTTTTATTTCCGAGTAGGATCATCCTGCAAAATAAATTATGCATGAGACATATTTCTACCTTAAATTAGTATAATTCCTATTGTAGATATTGCAGTCAGTTATGCTTACATGTAAGGAATATCAAATTTGCACGAAAGGAAAAGGGATTATGGTATGGCATCCAGTATTTCCTCCATATGCATACAAGGAAATGCGCATGATATACATTTCATGTATTCCGGCAAAATTCATTAGAAAAGATTGGCGTAAGGAAATAATCCTCAATCTCTGTTTCTCGAAGAAAATCCATTTTATTAAGAAAATGAATTGCCTATGAGATGCCAGTTTTTAATATTAATCAGTTTCTCAAATTTAAATCGTTTTTCATATCTTTAATGTCTACAATACAAGAGAAATTTTCAACTATCGTATTTTAACACTGTTGTTAATTAATTTCATTCTTTTGCAGTTCCTCCGCGATTTAAGGATCCATTCCAGACCAAAACAGTCACCGAAGGAATAGGATTGACGCTTACCTGTACTGCTGTAGGTGATGAGCCGATTGTCATCAAATGGCTAAAGAATAAATCTCTGATAGACGCTAAGAAGTTAACAAGGTGAACTTTCTTATGTCAATTCCTTTCTTAAGTCATTTAAGTTAGTAAGATTTTATGTCAATGAGGTCAATTATTTTCTTGAGTGTGTAGGATTTATTGAAATAATAAACAGTATTTTTCTTCACTTTCGCAAAGAGACATTTCAATTGATATTGAAGCTTTTCAGAACGTGAATTGCTAGAAAAGAGATTGTCGGTGATTAAATGCCCCGTGACCAGTGTATTATGTTATGTTATGTAGAAGTGAGGTGGCCACCTAATATTTACCCTAAGTAAGCAGGTATTAGCCCCACACGATTGTGTCATCCATCGTTACATCTGCTATTGTCTGAAAAGTAGAAAAATTTCACTCCAATTAATTATCTTTCCAAACTAAACTAAATGGCGCAACAGCCGTTAGTGAACCATAGCTTTCATATGTGATATATAAATATCAAATATAGTGTACAGCACAGTACGTGTACAGAACATGCTGCTGGTTGTAAAGTCACTGAACGCGAGATTGCTGGATAAATGCAAGGAAACCTAATAGTTAATAAGAAATTATGCTTAAGGGAACACAGAGACCTTGAAAAAAGCACATATCATTTGATATGTGCTTTCTTGATCTCTGAGGTCCGAGGTGCATGAGCATGGACAAGTAGTCAGCTTGTCGCAGGACCCCGGTCTTTAGTCCCCAAGCGAACATTTTATCGACCCACTCAAGGGAAATTCTGTTTCTAGGGATAATGATTTGGCTGCCCATGTTTGTTTAAGAATTTTATCTTAAAATCTTTCAATAGTAATAGTTTTCTACAACTAAATTCTTTCGAATCCAAGCGAAAAACTGTTATTAAATGAAAGTTTAATTGCATCTTAAGCATTAAAATTTCTAAAGATAATTAAACAATGTTTATAAAAGAAACATTTATTGTGGCCAAATTTATATGAAACTTTTGCGAGGGACTTCAAATTAGGACAAATATAATATATTATAAAGGAGATAAGCAACCACTTGTTGTTGTTTTTGTAGTTGTTTAACTAATCTTTCTTGCCTGATATCAAAGCAAGCCCCTGAAATTCATCATGGCAGTAGGCAAGATTGTGCCTTTCGTTGGCAAGATCCTTGGGCACCATACACATGTGACATTACGACTTTGGTCACTTCCGCCCCTAATCCTGAAAAAGAGCTCAGAGCATCCCGGAAGATGTGTTCAGGAGTCTCCCATCCCTCTTTCCCTACCACTAACCTCTTGAGCCAGTTGTGAGGCGCATACTGCTAATATGTTCAACAGAAAAAATAATTTAACCGAGAGGACATTTCCTACTGCCAGCCGTTTTTTCTTGAATGCATATTTGTAGGAACGTTTCTCCCGCCTTCTTAGCATGCCTTCGTGATGTAGTAGTCAGCACGCTCGGCGCGTATTCGAGAGTTTCGATTCCCGACGTGGGCATTGCTCATTTTCCCTCTCTCCTGCTTTAAAAAAATGTCTCTATAACATCCTTAATCATTACTTACATTTTAGCCCCTAACATCAAGAAATATTTGTACCAATTCCAAAAATATTTATATAAATGTATTTATTTAAACAACTAATTACAGAACAAAAGCGTTGGAAGAATAAACTGAGCTTATGTAACTAAGGAAAATAAATACGCTTTTGTATATTTGTAAATACGCTTATTAGGGTTTTATCAATTCACTATAGCTTATTGGATATATTATTTTATAAGTTGACTGGGCTTTTTAAATAGGTTGGATAATTTGAATCCGTGAATCCTAAGAATGTTGAAACAGAGTCGAAATTCAGAACTTCGAAGCTTAACGTATTTTTTGGCAATCGAAAATTTAGAATCCTAACCTAAATAAATGTTTGAACGGTTTAGCTCAAAATTTTGGAAGAATTAGTTTTATCGGGATCCAATGAAGAGTTTATTAACAAAAATGTTGCTGCTGTATCAGTGAACTTAGATCATCAATATCACAGCATAAGGATTATGGGACGCCACACCTTCATTTTTGTGCATTGGATTTAGCATTCTGTTTTACACTCATGTCCATAATTTAAGGATAAGTCGGAGTCAAGCGGAAATCGAACTCTAAAATAAATATATCACCTGTAAAATCACTACACACATCTTCAAGAATCATATGCAAATTTCAGGAAGTAACCAGATGACACCGATGGTACGTCACAATGCCCAGAGTGTAAGAGAGTGATATATAAGGAATGCAGGCGAAGAAGTAAAATTGTTCGCAGGCGCTTTATAAGCATATCAAAGCAATAACCGAATAGTTATGGCACAAAGGACGCATTTGGATGATTTTTTACGTGGTAGAATTATCGGCCGTCTGGAATGTGGGCGTACCCAACTGGAAGTATCAGACTAACTGTGAATTGCCCAGAGTGTCATCTCCAGGCTTTGGCAACGATTCCAAGATGATGGTAATGTGAGTAGACGTTAGAGCACAGGTCGCCCCAGAGTTACAACGCCGAATGAGGACCGGTATTTGGCAGTTACTGCCAAAAGAAACAGGAGGAGCACAGCCTCAGACCTGTCTCGAGAGCTCTCTTCAGCCACTGGTACGACAATTTCAAGGCAGACCGTGTACAGACGCTTAGGGCAGATTGGTCTATATGCTCGTAGACCTGTCAGATGCGTTCCACTTAATGCAACTCACTGTCGCCTGCGTTTAGCCTGGAGTAGAGAGCATGCATTGTGGACACCGCAACAGTGGCTTGTGTTATGTTTTCCGACGGTCCAGGTTTAGTTTGCAGTCTGATTCTCGCATGACTTTCATATGGAGAGTTCCAGGTACCCGTTACCACCAAGAAAACATCATTGAACGACACCGTTACGGTGGTTCAGGAGTGCTCGTTTGGGGTGGAATTATTCTGGGTTCCAGAATTGACCTGCATGTTCAAATTGGAACCATGACAAGCCAAATCTATCGGGACGTCATTCTGGAACAGCATGTACGTTTGTTTCCTGGCGCCATGGGCGCACAATTTGTGTTTATGGATGCAACGCCCGTCCTCACCGTGCAAACATCGTAAGCGAATGCCTTCAATCGGAGGATATCACCCGTATGGACTGGCCAGCATTCTCACTGGATTTGAATCCAGTAGAGCACGTGTGGGACATTCTTGGCCAACGAGTTGCAGCCCATCAACCTCCTCCTTCATGTCTACATGAACTTCGGAGAGCGTTGCTTTTTGAGTGGTGTAATATCCCCCAAGATCAGATCGATAATTTGATACTCAGCATGCCTAGGCGTGGTACGGACTGTATTGCATCGTCTGGAAGACATACAATGTATTAACCATCATACCAACCATGTAATATCAGTTTTTTGTAAATAGGTCTTTTTTTTTTGTAATTTGCTCCAGGCAGAAAAAATCGCTATTTTTTTAATAATATCAAATATATAGCATCTTTTTTTTTCTCTTTACCTAATGTTTAATAAATGAGCTTTACAAATAAGTCAAATTTGTTTCGCTCCTAACTCTTCCTTTGCCTGATTTTGCATTATCCTTAATTTATGGACATGAGTGTAGTATGTGACAATTATTTTAAAAATTAAGCTTAATTTATGCAGTGGACTATCTTCGCTTTGATTCTACATTCATGCTATATATATGCTATATGTATTATATGACATATATACATATAAATAAATATATATATATATATATATATATTGCATATATTAGCTCAAATCAAAGTGTTCCTATAAGTAACAACATGGGAGAAAAACTTGATTGCAATTCATGCCCTGTGATCCCAACTTGTTTGCCTAAGAGCTAGGTTAGATTATTTTGGATGTGACAAAAAACATAAAAGCCATCTGACTAGCAGAGGCATAAGTTCATGGAAGATTATTTTTAAGGAACACTGGATCGCACTCACGTTACACATGTGAAAATAACAACGGAAAACATGCATTCATCCATCCCATTCACTTAAGTACCAACCCGTATCGCTTAGTATCCATTTGATGGCGATTAGCTATAGGTAAAACTAAGTTTCTGTTTCTAAACGATTTTATTTGATTTCAAGGCAGGTGAACTAAGAAGTAAACGTTACTGTCGATAAGTAATCGTCCCTTTTGTTTATGATTTTTTCCTTTAATTTAACCCACCAAGATTAGATGAATAAAATTTGTGAAATAAATTTCTGCTTATTGACATTTAGAAAACAATCGTAGATAAAATATAAATTAATGAATTATATGAATAATTTTAAGTAGTAGTGTTTCTAGGATTTATTTATTTAACTCTTGAAATAATCAGCTTCTCCGCACTTGATTTGATTTTTAAAAATTATAAAGAAACAAATGCTTATAAATCTGTTTTTCTTTTCAAATCATACGGCGGAAATGGACATCAATGTTATAAAATCTTATTCATGTGTTTCATTTTCTAAATTTCAGTTTCTAAAATTCAGTTTCTTCTCAGGAAATATAAGTCCATTCTAAATTTTTTATCAGGAAACCTATATTCCAAATTTTCCTTTAATGAAAGGAATTTAATATTAAATAAATTTTCTTTGTATTACTTTTATTACGTAAAGCATTCAAAATTACAATCTCGAGAACCTCTTAACATAGGAATTAGAGAAAATTTAAAATTCATTCAGCTTCTGTGTTGAAGCACACCTGGTAATCAATGTTTACATAAAACTTAAAAGGAAAAGCCTTAAATAAGTACGCCACGCTATCATACAGATTTTCTGATTTTGCATTGCAAAATACAGTTTTTCCCCAAGGAAAAATTAAAATTTTTTAACTACGAACATTTGTAATTTTTTACAGAATTAAAGAGAAACTTAAGAAACTCGGGTAATCCTAAAAAGGTTTTAAGCTGTCAATTTAGTCTTAACCATAGATACTTCATATGGAGTCCAATAGAGGAAATGTAGGAAATGATAATTAATAAGTAAAGAATTTTAGTAGAATTTTTCTTTACTTTTTTAATAGATCCGAAATAAAATATCTACATTTAAAAACAAATCCGTTCCATTAATTTTAATGCAAATACAAAGTTCTTGTTTAATAAAGAGAAGCTTGAGATTGATAAATACCTTGTAGAATTAAAATACTTTTTATAATTAAAAAAAAAATATCTGTTGCTTTTATTACATTTTTTTCTTAATTATTCAAGACAAGTAGTTTTGAAAAATTAGTCGTTTATAAACATGTATCCATATTCACTCTCGCCACTGAATTCTAACGAATAAATCTTTAATTGTTCTGATTTAAATACTTAGTTTTAAGGAAGAAAAATTGCCCCTAGCATTCGTACTTATAAATACGCTCTTTTGCAAAAGAATCGAAGCACCATGAAGGAAGTGGTTGTTTTTTGATGAAATTGAATATGTGTATAGCTCATACACAGATAATAAAATGATTACAAAATCAAGGTCATAGTACCTGTTCACGGCTCACAATCACCCACTGAGTATTCAAATTAGTAGCTGGTCGGCAATGCTTGAATTCGTCGAGGCAAGGAGTGGTAGAGGTTCCTAATGTCATCCTGCAACACATCTGCCAGGCATTCATCAGTTGTCGCTCCAAATCTTCGATATTTTGCGTTGCCCAAATCTGGCGGCCTAACATGGCCCAGACATCCTCGATTGGGGAAAGGTCTGGTGACCTTGCTGGCCAATTAAGAGTTTCAACTGCACGGAGACAGTCCAGAGATATGCGAGCGGTATGTGGTCTGGAAAATGGCCCCAGGATGATGGAAATGTCTTGTTAGAAAATGGCCCCAGGATGACGTGCCATGAACGGTAATGCAACCGGTCACAGAAAGATATCAACATATCGTTGAGTTGTTGAACTGTTGAAGATGTACGGAGGAAGACTAAAGATGACCCGCTGTCATAAGAAATAGCGCCCCACACAATCACACCAGGGGCTATGGCTGTATGTCTTTGTAAAACAAACGCTGATTGGCACCGCTGACCTCATCCTCTCCAGACACAAACACGGTGGTCATCTGCTTCGAGAGTGAAGCGTGATTCATCGCTGAAAACTATACGATGCCAGTCTTATAATAGCCATGATATCGGCTGCGACAGCACTCCAGACGACTCCGCCGATGTTGTGGGATCAAAGGCAAACGTCGTAAAGGCGACAAAGTCTCGGTGGTGTCGGTAAATGCCTCTGTGAGCGTAACCCCGCCTCAGACAAGCGCCGTTAAATGGTGGACGGTACCACGGGAGTTATACACGTGGCTGTAGTGCGTTGAATAGTCGACAATGATACCGTTGGGGTGGTTCGAGCCTGGCGAACAATCATCCTATCTTGCCTCGCATTTGTGCTCCTTGGCCTTCCATAGCCTTCATTTCGTCGTCAGTTTCCTTGTAGCAACCATTGCTGCCAACATGTTTGCACAGCAGTGTCTGTACGCTGCAGGTGGCGGCCTATTGCTTGGTATGACCACCCAGCTTCATGCAACCCTACAATGAGACCACGTTTGAAGTCGTTCAATTGTCTGTAAGGTCTTCGATATCGTCGTAATGACATCTTTAGTTGCTTCTTTACGGAATTACAATGGCAGCAACGAAAAAAGATAAATATTCCGCCTCTTTTACTGGTTTTATACTTTGCGAATTGTGCACTAAAAATGGGCGCTTTGATCGCAATTCATGTTTATTTGCCTTGAAACTTTGATCATTTGTATGTTCGATCAGGATGTTTTTGCATACCGAATTTCGTCACGATCGCAAATTTCCTTCTTGGTGCTTCCATTTTTTTCGCAAAAGTGTGTATTTCATGAATACCACACGCTTATTGAAGACTGAAATCTGGCGCTGGTTATAGAAATATATAAATTCTATCTCTTTTTCCCTTTATATTAATGCTATGTCCTTGATATCTATTTTATATTTTTAGTTATTATCAGAACAAAAATTTAATGCTAATTTATCTATCTAAACAATGGCCGAATAAATCGAAATATATATATAACTTTTGTATCGAAAGTCTTATAAAGCCTGTGTTTCGATCGATAACCTGGGACAACGCAAACTAACGAGAGTCAAGTGCTCTGACCACTAAAGTCCTGATGAATATCCCCTTTCTTCTCATAAATTTCTTATTTATTGTAAGCCGAGGACTCTTATACTCCTTTTGTTCTAATTTAGGGTGGAAGCTCTCTGGGGCCATATGACGGCTTAATATTTCAATAATGCATTTCTTTGTCGAAATAGGAAATTCAGAACTTCAATTATTATAACAATACAGCCTGCACTTCGGTTTTGTATTATGCAACGAACAACTCGAGGTTTAACAAATACACATTTTCCTATTCATTATTACGCATGTATAACGTATACGTTGTGTGTATTTTATTCCACGATTGATTTAATGCTGCAAAGTAGAACGTATTTTAAATATAAGCAATAGTAATAATGTTTGTTATGTTAATCAAAGTAAATTTATAAGCTGTGAATTTTGTAAATATTCACCATTCATCGTTGAAACATCAAACATTTGATAAACCTTTGCCATGAAAAAGTAATAGGAAAAATTGCTTAATTTTGGGTGACATTATATAATGTTACCACAGATGAAAGTTAAGTTCATTTTTTGACAGCTTTATTTATTACATAAAAATTTATGGTGTCCGCCGAAAAAATCGCTGCAAAAAATCACGGACGAAAACATCGGGGAGAAAACAACGCAAGGCGGAAACGTCGGGGTACAAAACATAGTCGGAGAAAATAAAGCAAAGAGCAAATATCGCAGTTCTAAAACATCGTGGTACAAAATATCGTCGTCGAAAATAAAGCGGTTCAAAAATTTCTCAGCTTAAAAGCATTGTCGTCGAAAATATCGTGGTAAAAAATAAAGTAACTACAAATCATCGGATGATGATACTATTGCAGACATGCGTTTTCAGGCTTTAATAAGCTGTAATTGAATACTTCCATAATGATTTGGTGAGCGCAAGAATGGGAACAAGAGGGATATTTTTACTTTTCATATTTCATATTTCTGAATGAACTAATAAATATTTGCTGAAAATGTAAAATGTAAACTTAAGCATAGAAAATTAATGCAACTTATAGCTGACTGACAGAGTTAATTAACGAAGGTCATTAATTTACTTTTTATAAAGTTTTATATCTTTCATCAAAGTATAATTTAAAAAATAATAGACAAAGAAAGATAAGTAACTGCATGACCTTATCTGTTAAAAAATTGCTAATTATGAGATTATTCTTCACGTTTTCTAATCTGATACTCTTATAGTGAAATATATTTATTGTTTTGTTTAAATTTCTTGTTCTGTTTTTTTTTTAATTTATTAGCTAATAAAAAACATGAAAATTACCTTTTTTTCCATCTTGTGCTCACAAATCATTATGCGAGTAACCTTTTATAATGATTAAAGCCTGAAAAATGCCTGTCCTTGATGTTATCGTCATGCGATGATTTGTAGGTACTTTATTTTTTATCATGATATTTTTGGCGACGATGTTTTTAAACTGAGAAGTTTTTGAACCGCTTTATTTTCGACAACGATATTTTGTACAACGACTTTTTAGAGCTGCGATGTTTTCTCCTTGCTTTATTTTCTTCCACGATGTTTTGTAACATGACGCTTTGGTCCAGGATGTTTTTGTCGCGATGTTTTCGGCTGTAACCAAATTTAGAAACAAGCATTGTTCCAATTTGAAAGGATACATTTCAGCCCAATACGTGGAAACGCAAAGTAGCAAAAAAGCTTTGATTTGAATAAAATCCTGTTTAGAACAAAAGAAAAGTGGCAACAACAGCCAAAAGCATTCTTCTGATTGTTTTAGATACAAGTTGATTTTTGCTAACAGATATCGCTACCTCGTTTGCTTTACTACCGTAGGTTATAAATATAAAATACGACGGCTTCGTCCACTACGTTCCGTTCTTGCAGATTTCATTGCTTCTGATGAAGAGATCTTGTACCTGTCTGCCCTCGAAATTGATTGGGATCTTGAGTAAATGTATGTCAAACATAAGGTTGATTTTATGTTTCACTTTGGCGTAATTCTCTGCTATTCTGATCTCAATTGATTGGTAGATATTAGATTTCTTGAAACGTATTTGTTTGTATACTTTTAAGAAGTCGTTGTTTTTAACCTTGATTGTTTATGTGTTGAAATCTATCAAGTGGTTAACATGGAACCACTTGATATAGATGCGAATGCGTTCAATCTCATTAGATTTAAATTTATTTAATTCGGAGTCAGTCATCATATGTATAAAAAATATACTGAAATTATTTCTGACAACTTAAACTTTAATAAATGTTTAATTAAGCCGTCTGTTCTCTATATTGCTTTAAATAAATATGTTTTAAATATTTAGATTAAACTTTATGACTGTTAGTGTGTTTAAACTCCTTTACATATTTCAGATATTCTATTAGAGATACCGCTTCAAAAATGGAAACAACTTCAGAGCTACATATAGCTACGTCATCTCGAAATGACACAGGAATGTACACATGCGCTGCAGTTAGTGAAATTGGTGCGGATGAAGCTGGAATAAAATTAATTGTACAAGGTGAGCCCACTTACTGTATAATGATATTTGTATCACTTCTATTAATAAAGTGTTTTAAGAAACATAAGCCGTGAACTATAACAATCTGTATACAGAATTTGTATATAAATGTTACAAGATTCTTATTTTTACTGTTAATCCATTTTTATTGAGTTTGAAGAGTTGCTGAGAATCAGCAATTTACTGGCCCAAAAATGCACTAGCCCAGATGGGCTATTAGTCCCGAAGCGGCATTTTATGTCAAATCAACTAAGCGTTGAATGACTTTTTAAATTGTTGCCACCAAATATTATCGTCCTTTATTATGTATAAAGAAATTAAGTAATAAAGTATCTGCATGAATGTATGTATACTTCTTGCATTGTGAAAAAACAACGGTACCTAGAGCCATCAAATTTTGAGTAGTATAGTTCTCTTCCCGAATATGGGCACCTGGAAGACCGAGTTTTGAATTTCGAATTTGTTCTGTTATCTACTTGTATTTCATATTTTGTAACACTTTAACGTACTTTTGATTATAAAAAACTCAACAATTTCAAAGCGAGCAGTGGCACTATTATACGGAATAAAACAATGTTATCTCCAGCGCGCGAGACTGTCTGTCAAAGTCTACAGATATGCTGCTTTAAATATTTTTAGCCCAAAATGGCGTCAGCCCAAATGCTCTCGAAACGATTGTGTGTTTGCAAATGAAACAAAACGTTTCTTTAGGCATAATATAAAATCTGAAAGCTTACTGTTACGCTGCTATTGGGTGACGTTTTTCTTTTCCCTTAATTTTCTTTACTTCCGAGGGTGTTTATTTGTGGACGAATAATAAGTGGCTTCAGTCAGGAAAAACATTACATTTAAAAACATTCCTGTGTTTTCAGGGACTCGAACTGAAACCTAGCAATATAGCAACCGATAATCACTAATATAAACAAGAGCAGCATAAAAACATGTTTTTAAAATTCACACTGCTATTAGAAGCAATTCTTATTTAGCACAAATTTAATTGACTATCTAAAATGTAATAGATAACAATAATGTAGTAGAATGTATAGCATTAGAGTAAAGGATAACCTGGTTTTACACAGGAATATTATCTACATATAATTTAATTAATGCAAGGGACAAAATACATGATATATTTAGAAGTCTCTTAGATTTCCCACAGAAACTGCCATTAAAGTTTTCGTGTTATTGTTATCCAAATATTTCTCTTTTAGAGGTCTCGGCTAATTTGCATTAACTCACTAGAATAACTTCATTTAAATATTTTGAGTTTGTTAGGAAACCGTGTAGTGGTAATAGTGAATTAATGTATACACTTATATATTCATATCCAAATTAAAGTTACATGTTATGAATGTTTATTGCGAGCATAATACGAATATGAAAAGTTATAATCAAGAGTAAAAGTAGCTTTGTAATAATTCAGGTATTGTGCTGTCTCTATACAAATAGATAGATTTTAAGTTAAAATGCTGACTAGAGCAGATTTTGGGGCAAAACATAAAGTTTGGATTATGTAATTTCTAACCTCACTGCCTTATATTTGCTTATTTTATATTTCAAATACTTTAGAAGATAAGCTTGATTTTTTTACTTCAGAAGTAATTGTATGTTCTTTCTTCATTATTTCATATCTTAGGAAAGCCAGATGCTCCATCTAATGTGTCCGTTATCAACGTGACAAGCAGATCTATAAGTCTTCAGTGGGAAGTGCTGGACAATGGAAATAGTCACATTACTGGCAGCATTGTCCAGTATCAAACATTCTCAGGTAACACTCTTAGCACCACTCTTAACCCACTCTTAGCACTTTTTCCCCGATGCTGCATGCATTATCGTCAGAACAGCAGGAGAATGTCAATGGCTTACTGGTTTTCGCAACAAGAAAAGATATAGATTTGGTTGCATTGCGAAATTTAAGATTTGCCAATAAGGTTTAAGACTTTGCATTATTTGTATGCAAAATAAAATGAAACATTTCAATGCTATTAAATTAATAACAATGAAATACTTCACTATTTTAATAGTTTTTTTTTTTTTTTTTTTTTTTTTTTACTTATTACGTGCTCCGCCCGTAGGCACTGCACGGAAAGGGAGGAATCCCCATGGAGGTCTTTTTAAGGTAAACTGGCTCGTATCTATGTTACACATGGCGAAAACCACAAACACGGCCATGCAGCCAGCCCGTTGGCCGGGACTCGAACCCCAGACCGAACTACCAGTGTTCGCGGCTTTTACCGCTCAGCCGTCAGTGAGCCTATTTTAATAGCTTATAGCGTCTTTTTTAAAACAAAACATTTTGTAAGAGGAAAAAGAAGAAAAAAATGAAGAAAAACATAGGAAATTGTACTAATAATTTAGGGTTTCTTAGTACCGGGAAATGTGAGAATTTTCTAATCTCCTCTCAGACGTTCGAAAAACAGATCTTCCTCTTACTAGTTCAATGAGTTATCCCACAATAATAGCACGTAAGAAGGAATGCCATGATTCCTTTTATTCTTCGTTAGTTAACGATGGTGATAAATTATCTTACCGGTCTTTTGAAAACTCTCCTCGCTGGTGAAATCTTTAAGAATTTTTTTGATGCAGGAAATTATAAAAAATCAGGTATGCTGTTGCCAGTAGTCTAATCTTGGATGTTATATTTGCCATCTAGAAGTGTCATCTATAATATGACAAGAAAGAACCGGATAATTTCGTACAAATTAAGCATTTGAATTATAATTTCAGGTTCATAATTAGTAAACATACCGGACTGCACACAAATAACTATAAAGTCTCACACCGTATTATAAACGTATATCACGATGTCAAGTTCCTTGTAAAAATAGAAAAAAATGTTCTGTATCTCTTTATACATATTATATATATTCTATTCTTAAGCCATGTTTCTGCAAGAAAAGAAAAAAAAATGAAGTCCTGCCGAATAACACTAGATCAAAATTAAGAAACAAAAACAAAATGTAAAATAATTACTGCCCCCAAAACAGTCACATTTAGAGAACGAAAGAGATATAAAAAAGAATAAATGTAAAAAACCAAACGTGGTGTTACATTTCCCATAATGTTTTCTTCAAGGCGTTGGGGACACAAGAAGTGAAATTATAAGCTACCTGATGAATAACTAATTCATTTCATGAATTTATTTAAAGATTACTTTCGGCTTTAATAAGTATTATTTTGTCGGTTCGAAAACAAGGCTAAAGCTGCACTTGTGGAACCAAACTCTTGAGCTCGAGACGAAAGTACTACGAGAAATTTAGCACTACGTTTTTGGCTTCATTCATTTTTCTATTTCTATTTTGCGTTTTTGGTGTGCATTTCTATTCCGTGCAGTTATTATTTTACGTTCAATTGTTATTTTTTTAATGGGCTTTTATCTAGCTTTACTGCACAGAATTTTACATTTGCTGTTCGAGATAAATTAAGCGATTGAACTTTTTTACTATATATACATGTTAAAAACAATTAAGCTGAGTAAAATTTATGCCTTTCAATGGGAAAATCTAGAGCAGTAACAGCTGAAACTGATTCAATTTAATTTTTCAAAAGTTAATGATATTACTATTCTAAAAGTATAATATGTTTGTGTGGAGAACTATTGTGACTAGTAAAAGTATTTAGGACACAAATAGAGACTAAAATTAAGCAAAAAAAAAAAAAAAGATAAATTGAATTTAATCAGTTTTTAAATTAAGGTTTAAAAACAATTAAAAAATATTTCCATAATATTTTATGATAAACTGCATTGTATTTCATTTTGTTTGCTAAATATTTTTACTAGTTACAATTAGGCATTACACAACCATATTACACTCTGCGAAATAGTATTTCATTCATTTTTGAAAAATTAAATGTATATATAGAGAGAGAGGCAAAAGAGGGAGACAGTAAGAATATAAAAATAAAAATTATCTCTTTTGAAATTTGAAAATAAATTAAAAAATTTTCTTCTTGCTTTTCTACACATGTAAAATAATTACTGCCCCCAAAACAGGCACATTTAGAGAACGAAAGAGAGATTCTGTATATGTGTGTATACATGTACAGAATATATGTATATATATTCTGTATATGTGTGTGTGTATGTGTGCTTGCGTGTACACATACATACATATTTAATATTGCAGACTTGACAGTGCATTATTTTATTGCTTTGTTTGTATTATTTTTATTTATGATGATTTGCTTGCATAACCTTCATTTTATGACTTTTCTTAAATTTATATTTTTTGCTGTTATTTATTGATAGATTAAATTATTCATTTTAGTGTATTAAGCAACTATTGATAATTTATTGTTGATTAAATTTGCGACAGAATTATTCATCGCCATTATTATGAGATTTTATAATACAAATTATTGTGAGTTATCATGACCTTGATCTTTGGTTATGGGCAATCATTTAGGTGTACTCCAACTGCGCTAATGAAAATCCCCCCCTCGTCCTGAGATAGTCCAACTGCGCCGATCAAAATTTCTTTCCCCTGTTGGCCACAGGGTTACAATTTTATTTTTCGAAGCCAACTGTAGCCAAGAGGAAAATAAAAATAAAGAAATATATTTTTTATAAATGAATAGTGGATTTGTTGCCAATCTAGAGAAACTAAGCTTCGGCAACAACAAAGATAAAGCCTTCTTTTATTATTATTGCGAATTCAGTCATGCTTAATCCTTTCTGAAATTTATTCCAGGAAATAAGTGTTTAATATTTCTAGAGAAATTTCTTAGGGGTTGAAATTTTAAAATGCAGCAGAAATGAGAAGAGAGAATTTAGATCTTTCATATCATAAGTTTATTAAGCATATACCCTACACGGAGCACGCATTCTTGAAATTGAAATACGGACATAGCGGCACAGAAAAATATTTTTTGAAAAAAGAACTATGTAGTAATGCATAAATGAAAGAAATTAAATAAAAACTATCAAAGAAATATATAATAATTATTACATCAAACACTCTCTTACCGCAAGTGATAAAATTTTGTTTTCTCGTTTATCTTCAGCAAAGCTATACAATTAAATAATCACTTTCATTCACGTAAAATTATAAACAAATGTAAATTATTATAGAAAACGCATAAAGTTAAACACTACAGTTTGAAAGGAAAATTTGGCATAAAATGTTAAGAAAATTAGATGAGAAATAATCCATAATTTATTGATATCCATATAAACTCTATGCTTTTGGGAAAAGTTACACATAATTTGCACTGAGGTATCAATCACCGAAGCCAAGTTAATTTCTTTCCTTATTTTTTCTTATCAGGGGGATTTGTAAAAAGACACGCTAAGGTGAAAAATTTTGCAATATTCAAAGAGTAAATTTTAAAAGTATTTTTACTTCATGAACTGAAATTTTTACGATACATTTTTACACAAGTAAATAAGTACAAAAAAAAGAAAGACCTAGTGGGATCTCTGAGATTAGAGACTCGGGTCGAACTATAAAAGTTTAGTGAAATTTTCCGCTTGATCATAAGACCTTTTTGAAATTAGGCTGAACAAGTATATTAAAGAAAATAGAAGATACATCACACATAAGAACAAAAGTGGCGCTGAATTAGAGATTTACAAGTTTGGTGAGTGAGTTAAACTTATCTGTATACCATTTTGAAATATTAGGAACGTAGAATAAAAGCATCAGTGAAGAAGGCAACGGCAACTAAATCATTCTAATCTAAATTTATAACATTATCAGTATCTGCTATTAATTCAATACTGCTGAAAAAAAATATAAATGAATTATATTATAAATCGTATGAACTCGTTTGCATTATAAATTACAACAGTTAGAAATATTATTAGTGTGATTTAGCGACCATCTTTGTTAACAAATAATTTCAAGTAACTAATTTTACAAATAAGTCAGCCTGAAACTAGGTTAGAAAATAAGCTACATGCTGAAGATTAAGCTTTGCCAAGGTGTTAGAAACATCTTCTATTAACTAGAGTTATGAAGCAAGAATTTGTAAAAATTATCATTTAAATATAAATTGGCATAAATACAATACAAATTATATAAATTTTACATACATGAAAACTTGAGTACAGTGCAACAATATGTGAAAAGGAATGTATTAAAAGGGAGACTGAAAATCTCAAGATATGAATATAAGGAAGTTTTAATTTTTTTTTTTGTTAATTATAAAAATTCTGATGACGCTCATAATTATCAATTTATTAATTAAATTAGAAATTAAATGTATGCCAAAGGTGGAAAACAGACTAAATATTTTCTAGTATTAGAATAGGAATTTGTTAAAAGTTCGTTTCTAGTATTAAAATATGGAATTTGTAACAAAGTTAAATAACCTTAAAATAACTTCAGTGATTAAAAATGGAAAGCTTAATACGGGAATATATTGCAATAATATTAATGTGAATTTAGAACGACTTAAGAAGTCCAATTTTTAGATTTAATAAAGAGAATTTTTAAAATTAAATTAAAACTGTTTACCTAAAATGGTAAATTTGAAAGTTAAAACCATTCTGCTATCTAAGAAGATTTGTTAATATTTATCTAGACAAGAAACGTATTTAAGGTCAGCTACAAATCCGATATTTGATACGTTGATTATGTATCAGTTTTGTGTATGTCATTAATCTATCAATTTTACTATTCAAAACTGATATATATATATATATCAGCGACTAAAATCTACAATTTGGAAAGTTTTTAATTCTTACAGAGAATAAAAAAGATCTGGCTCATCATTCCTTTAAGCATCATAAAACTTTAAAATGAGTGTAAAAGAAATTTATTTTTTAGCACACGCCAGACTTTAAATTAATATTTGTTTTACATGCACAACTTTTACTATATTGATAAACGAAAATAAAGGCTGGCAGTCTCAATAGAATGTCCCATTAATGGCGATAAACGACTTCTTGTAGCACCCAATCTTCTTGGAAAGAAATGGGGGACAGGAAACGTCGCGCAGTTCGTGGTTTAAAAAAGAGGAGAACGGGGATTTTCGATCAAATTTGGCGCAGTTCGTACCCTACCAATCATTTAAGCTCAACGTACGATGAACTTCATGTGACGGGTTTGAATTACTGTTTCATCAAATATATTTATGACTCATCGTTATTTGTAAAAGTAATTTTAATATATTATACGAGATAAAATTAGAAGAGAAAATTCCGTATTTGATTTCACTGTCAGGCAGAGACGTCTTAATAAAATATGGATCTCTGAGCTTTTAACAACAGCAACACTTCTAAGAATAGGAATAAATTTGTAAAAGTTTGGTCTTCTGTACTCGCCAGACCCTAGTAACCTCAACTCATTAAGATCGCATTGCTGTTAGATAACAAAGGAGCACTTTCAGTAGAACTAACTGTTTTTGCGTACTGGCCAGTCTGACGCTTAAATGTCATAGCGAGGCCGCGAAAATTTTTCCATTCACTCTGATGATAGTGCCGCCATCTAGTATCATAAATTATGACTATAATAACATTTAATTGTGTTCGCATTAGTTTTTAATTATACATTAATCCATTGCTTAAAGATGTGCTCATGTGCTCATGAGTAAATAATTTTTGAATATATCTGTAGTAATGTAATGAAAGAAAGCTTTAATAACATAAATGAATTCAAATGTATCAGTTATTCTTAGGTAATCTTTAAATTTCGCAAAAAAATTTTATTCATTTAAACTGAACAAAACAAAACAAATTTTATTCATTTAAATTGAAATATTATTTTAATTTTTAAATGAGTCTGAAGAGTGACAAAAATAAATCATGGTTTTAAATTAGTTTCTAATATTCAACTAGCTTTCAAAAAAGCCATTTTTTTATTACTTCGCTTTACAAAAGGATGATAATTTTCCTGCCTCTATCATTTCACGAAAATGCATTTATTCATTATTTGGAATATTGTATTTATTTAACGAAAGGACCGTGTATTAGAAATATATGATCGATCGAGCAATCACTCATAGCACAAAAAGTTTTTCTCATGACTTGCTCCGAGATGAAATAAATAATGGTGTCTACCGTGGCTCCCGAAATAAAATGTAGTTAAACTATAGTAGCTCCCTAACGAAAATATAGTTGAAGATAATTCGTCAGCATCAGGATTTGGCAAATGGGTCGGAACCCTTCCAGTCGCTGTTTAAGGGTGGGGGAAATTTGTCTTCCTACTTATCACTTGCCTTTGTAGTATAATTGGAAGCACGTTCGGCTAGCAATCTGGAAATTCGGATTTCGAATACTGGCATGGTGATTGTACATTTTACAAGTGACTTGCTCTGAAATAAAATACTTAAGTTCTCTAAAACTGCTTTGTTTTCTTTTGCTAAAGCTATCTCAATTACTAGGTTATTATATACTTCTCATTAAGTTATAAAGCTCCTTGTCTTTTACTTTAACTTTTATAAAAATAATAGCTTCTCAAGATTTCTCACTGTAAAGCGATCAAAGGGATAAAAGTGATGTAAAATGGTAAGAACAGCATTTTAGATTTAAAAGTATAGTATTATTACGAATAGCTGTGTTTCTTTTCGCTTTGCGATAAAAAATACCAGTAATGGATTCTTCAAGCACTTATCCAAGAAGTTAAATGAATGATGTCTAGTTAAAATGTTCCTAAATATTAAATGATATTAATGAAGGAAAAGGTAAAAATAAAGAAAGGAGAAAAATACTTCTAAACATAACCATTAATAATAATAAAAAAAAATATATTGTAGACCTTATTTTGGGCTGATTTTATGTATTTTCTGGTTGATATTTCAGATATGAATTCATAGCTTTCCGCATGTCCCTTTTCATTTGTAACAGTTTTTCTACCTAAGCTGTTGTTTTGCGTCAAAGGTTAGTTTTGATGTTTTTGCCAAGCGTGTCCTTTTCCTGTTGTCTTTACAGCCAGACTGAACACTGTAATTACACAGTAAACAAAAAAAGAAAAAAAATCATATACGGATGTGATTAAGTGAAAAATACTTATAAACATAAATAATTAATAAACAGAGTTTTTTACCAATGATTTTTTGTTTCTTTTTTTTATGTTACATATTTCAATTATAATGTTACAAACTTCTCATTTTTTTTTTAACAGAACTTTTTATTGAAACTGTTGTTCTTTGTCAAAAGTCGGTCTGATTGTCTTTACTGGTTACGATGCTGTAGAGTTATTACGAGAAATTTATTTCACCAACACACTTCTATAGAATAACATCTACTCATAAGCACTTCGAAAGCAAGATTTAAAATATTCTGTTATGTAATGGGCATGTGTAAATAGCAGTAATTCTTACTTATGCTGCGCAGATGAAGGAATTATATGCAAGTGCGGTGCATTTGATAATCAGTATATATTTTAGGAAAATATCAATGACATATCTCTAGAGATTTGATATTGATAACGCTACAACTTGAATTAAAAACCTGGGTACATAATTAAGGACTAAAACATCTGAACAACAAAATCGTTGAATTATTTTGAGAACTAAGGATAAAAATAGATTTTATATTAAAAATCGTCATCCAATAAGGAGACTTCAGAGATTAAAATATAGATTCTCAATTCTCAATACGTCTTCAAAATGACTATTTGCTGCCTTTTTATATCAAAAGTAAAATTAATGAGAAATTCGAAGACAAAGGATCGAAAAAGAAAGAATTAACTTTCTCTAAAAGGTAATTTTCCCTAAATTAACAAAACTTAAATTATTTTTAGATTATGAAATTAAAAAGCGATTTTTTTAAACCACTTAATATTTTGCAAATAAATTAAGTGATGAATTGCAAAACCTCCTTTTTTCCAGGGGGGGGGGAGAGGCCAAGCAAGCAAATATGATGAAATATGAAAATACTCCATTTCTTCGATTATTGTTTTAGAGACAGTCCAGCAGTTTGTTTGAAGATTCCTGTTTGTTTATGTTATCTAAAGCGGAATATCGAAAAAACATTGAAAACAGCTTTGTTCAAAGACATTCCAGTAGTGAAACGGCAAAGAAAGGAACTAACTACAGAATTCGAATAGGAAAATGACCTAAGCATATCAGATGTATTTTATTAATACCACTTAATATTTTGCAAATAAATTAAGTGATGAATTGCAAAACCTCCTTTTTTCCGGGGGGGGGAGAGGCCAAGCAAGCAAATATGATGAAATATGAAAATACTCCATTTCTTCGATTATAATATTGTTTTAGAGACAGTTCAGCAGTTTGTTTGAAGATTCCTGTTTGTTTATGTATCTATTGTAAACTAAAGCGGAATATCGAAAAAACATTCAAAACAGCTTTATTTAAAGACATTTCAGTAGTGAAACGGCAAAGAATGGAACTAACTTCAGAATTCGAATAGGAAAATGACCTAAGCATATCAGATGTATTTTATTAATACCAAACCTGATTGAAAATACAATTACTTCGTTTTAAAAATTTTTTCTAGTACAAAAAACACAGCCGTTATCAAAACAAATAGTTTCATTTGAAAACAAATGAAACAAAGGAAAGGATAGGAGAAATCCTCAGTTGGTAAAGTTGTGTTGAATGAGGTTGAACCTGTTGTGTGAAATTCTGTTAAATGTGTAGTGAAAGTGTCTATAACGAATAGGCATAAATATCACAGAGAATTAATTGGTAAGCTACTGAAAATCTATAAAATAATGAGGTGCTAAACCTCGCTTAAGATTAATTTTCTAGGTACCCATCACAATTATTTCCAGCTGGAAAACAGGAAAACGTTTCTGTGAACATTTATCACTGCAATAGAAGCACTTAAAGTAGAAATGAAAGTTTAGAATAATAGCCTATTATAAGCTCTAAAATGACATGTATGGCAAAATACGAAAAACTGGATAAGCATAATTATTTAATCTAGTTACCACTAATCGGTTTGGCTTTTTGACAAAAATTATTAGAAAAAGAGGGCATTATTCAAAAGCAATCTGGGACCATGAAATTTGGTAATCGCATTTTATTCAGCACCAAAATATTATAAAGTATTGCATTTAAAATTTTCTTAACAAAATGTGTCTTACGTTTTACGGTTCTATCTAATTTATTTCAATTCTCTATGATAATTAATTTTAAAATGGTTTTGTTAAACTCGTTACCATTTCATCCTGTATACCACTATATTATATTTTTTAGACAAAAATTGGAATGGTCAAACTTCTCAACTGATTGTGTCAAGTGCAGATACAAGTGCTACTCTACGTGGGTTAGTACCTGTCACAACGTATTATGTAAGAATTATAGCTGAAAATGCTCTTGGTAGAAGTCAACCAAGTGATGTATTAGAAATAACAACGGAAGAAGAAGGTAATCATTTGTGTTACGTAATGCTGTCAATAAACTTCGGAAGATATCCACGAGACTGTTTTATGAATAACTTTATTGAATGAACATGAGACTTTTAATGTATTAATGTTTTAATGACGCGAGTTTTATGTATCCTTTTCTTGTGGATGGCATCAGTTTTCGGCGTTGCCATGCACGTTCTAATCCGTGTTTGCTTAGTAATAGAAGTGTTATATAAATTTAATGTTGATATGAATATGAATTGAATTATTATATTGTATTTGTGTTCTGTTTATTGAATAATATCCTAGTTCCTGCTTTACTGTGAAACTGTGAAAATACTGATGTCAAGTGTTAACAAAGTTGTTTATTCGTCAAGAAACATGTGCAGAATTCAAGTAGATAAGATTTATTTCTTTTTCTATAAATATTGAAATTGTAAACAGATATTGTAATAGTAGACTCAATGTGTCTAATTATTATTAAAGTTTATATACGTATATTAAGAACCTGTGCAGAACAACCGTTGACGAGTAGTCTCGGCGTAGTTCTGATATTTTTTGATAATATTTTCGTTACAATTTGAATATTATATGAGAAATATTGTGCAAAGTTTGTCCCAAATTTATTTAAAACCCATTTACTCTTGTCGTAGAAAATAAATCGAAGCTGATTTTTGTGGTCTTGATACTCAAGCTCTTGCGTATTTTTTTTTTTTTTTTAAATAGGCTCAGAGCAATTATATTGTGACAGATAGTATTTTGTAATTTCTTCTTCATTGTACGAAGCAAAAAGCAAGTATTGTAATCGCGAAAAGTTTCAGGCACCATATTTCAGCAAAAATATCCATTTTGACCGCTATCGAATGCAGTTTAACGATGTTATGTGTGACATCTGTACGTAAGAACAGAATGAAAGACATCTTTCCTCCAAACAAATTATAAAGCTGCTTTAAAATGAATTCTGAAGAGAATTTTTCGTGGTGTCTATACGTACGTATGTATCTCGCATAACTCAAAAACGAGTAGCCTCAGAATGTTGAAATTTTGTGTATAGGATTGCTATAACATGTAGATATGCACCTCATATTTTGGTTGCAATCGGCCGCATCAAACGTATATAATACACCCACTCTGTTACCCGGCTCAGTGATCTCAGTTTCTTTACTCTTATATATTTGTAAATTGTGCGTTTTTTGCTTTAAAAATGATAGAATTATGTTGTTCTTATCTTCCGGTTAAGGTTTTTAAGTTTTAGGAAATCTTCAAGCAATATTTGTAGAATTATCAATAATTTAAAAGCTGTTTAGGTGAGGTTAAGCCTAATATTAAAATAAAATGTCAGACATGCTTGTTTACATTTGAAACAGCAGAATAGTAGATTTGTTGCCAATCTAGAGAGACTAAGCTTCGCAACAGCAAAGATAACGCTTCATTTATAATTGCCAATTAAATCATGCTTAATCCTTTCTGGATTTTTTTCGAGGAAATAAGCATTTAAGATTTACTTCACAATTTTTAATACAGATAATTTGCATTTTTATGTACTTTTGCCTTGTCGCGAAGTGAGAACTGAATTCATTGAATGAGAAATACTGAATCGTCTGTGAAAAACTGTTCCTTTTTTGTTTTGTTTGCTTAATTTCTTTTATACGCCGTTCTAGATTTATTATAGTATTTGAATAGAACATGTGGCAACGATTAGATAATTCTTTAAATGATATAGATTTTGTGCATTCTGAGTTATAAAATGAACGAAATATAACGCTGTTAAGTGAACCTAGCACCAGAATGTCGCTATGGTAAACAAATAAAGTGAATTTTAAAGAGTGCATTTATTCTATTGTGGTTTATGGGCTATCGACGAATTAGATTTAATTCAATCCAATAAGTTTAACTGAAATGCAAGAAAAAATGCGTATAATTTAATATTCCGTAAAAGGAAGTCATGTGGTGTACACATCAGATTTTTATCTTAGTATTAAAAAAAATAACATTTTCTTTAAATGGTACTCATTGCTTGAATATTTAATCACATTGCAATATTCAAAACCGGGTGTCAATTGCTTTCTTTAAAATTGCTAGGAAATGTTAAATGCTAAATTTAACATTGTTACATATATTTATGAAATACTGCTGCTAAAATTAAAGATCAGAATTCAAATTAAAATAAAAATCGCATTTTTATTCTACATCGCGTTTTTCAGATTTTTTATTATGTCCAAAGGGGCATTTTGTCCATTTACACACACATACATAATGTACTTTCGGTTGAAAATGTTTGAAAACAGCATATCTTGTGAATTTCTGAAATACAGTCTCTCGTGTTGGAGATAAATTTTTTCGTACGGTATTGCCATTCCTCGCTATGAAATCGTTGAGTTTGTTAATCGAAAATTCGTTAAAGTTTTTAAAAAATATGAAATGAGTAATAAAACAAATTCCAGATTCCAAATTCAGGGTTCCATGTGCTCATATTTGAGTGAAGGACTTCATTATTCAGAATTTGATGGCTTTAGGTACCGTAATTTTTCAACAATGCGAGAAACATGTACACGTTAAATCAGATTCTTCATTATTTTATTTCTTTAAATGTCATATAAGGCGATAATATTTAGTGGCAAACAATTTGAAACGTGATTCAATGCAAAATGCCGTTTGCAGTCTCATAGCCCTTATGGGCTAATGCTTCTTTGGGCTAACAATGCATAAAAAGGCCGATTATAATTTAAATTCTATGATTTGATCTTGTATTAAATCAAATAAGAAACACTACCAGTAAGAAAGCAGAGAATGAAGTCAGTATAATAGTATCTGTAAATATATATATATATATATGTGTGTGTGTGTGTGTTAAACTAAATACATTTTTTGTTATAGGCATTATGGATATTCCTTACATAACACAGGCATGCCCCCCGTCTTTAATGTTTTGCTTTATCCATGATAGTAATGCATATTTTTTATCCTTACCTTTGTTGGTGCTGTTTGCTTAGACAATTATAAATTATCGAAAATGAATTTTTTTTATATAATTTTCAGATTGACTAAAAAAGATATCCGAGTAATTATCAAGACAAAGAAAATTATGTATAGCTGTACAGTTTAAGAATTACGGAACCAATTAACTAATTTATTAAGCTTTATCCAACTAAATCAATTCTAAAAGCCAGATTTAGTTTAATAAATAATATTTTTTAAATGATATAGAAACTTGTTCGATTTCCTCCATCTCCTACTCTAAAACGTTTAGTGAAAACACATTATTTAAAAAATGCAGGTGTCGGTTCATATATATATCAAGCACACATATATATATGCGACTTACAATATGTGGAGTTTACACAAAAACTTTTCGGAGTTTTTCTTTAGAAAAAAAGCAATAGTTAAAGTATCCGCTACAATAAAATATTTTTGATTTTATTTAAAATTTATTTTGGTACAATTCGGTTTCGGGGACCGTAAAAAATTGCAGCGAAAAGGCATGCGCAAAAGCGCCAAATCTAGCAAACTCGTCCATTAAACAGCACGCCACGCCAAATCTCGCGAACGCGCTGATTTCAAATTGCGTAAGTTTTAGATAGTTCTATATTTGCAAGTCGCCATTCAAATACTAGTTTAATTTTTTAATTCTCTTTATGATAAAGCTATGGATTTTACAATTTGGGAATTGCCGAGTGAAAAAAAGTCTACAATAGAATTTTTTCAAAAAAAAAAAAAAAAAAAAAAAAAGGCATCATTCATGATAGAAAATTATGCTTGAACAATTATGAGATGAAATTATGCTTTATCGATAACTCGGTAGCAAAATGGCGGTGCAGGAAAGAAACCTGTAATGAGTATGTTTCCATTCAGTTATTTTAGCCTTTTTTATATAAATAATAATAATAATAAATTGTATGATGTGAAATTAACCTTTTTATCTAAATTAAAATAATAATCTGAAACAGTTATTTACTCTTATGCTTCCATTCAGTCATGTTTAGCCTTTTTTATATAAATTATAATAATAAAAAAGTACTATATGAAAGTAACTTTTCATCTAAATTAAAACATCAATCTTAAATAGTTATTCGCTATTATACTTCCTTTCTTGCGTTAGGGTTGCCGCAATTATTTTTGGCAGCATTGGCATCAACAATAGTTTGGCGATTTTTTACGGCCCTCGAAACCGAATAGTACCGTTATATTTTTGCTATATGTAAACCAAATACGGGTACTATTCGGTTTTGAGGGCCGTAAAAAATCGCCAAACTATTGTTGATGCCAGTGCTGCCAAAAATAATTGCGGCAACCCTAACGCAAGAAAGGAAGTATAATAGTAAATAACTGTCTAAGATTGATGTTTTAATTTAGATAAAAGTTTAATTTCATATAATACTCTTTTATTATTGAAATTTATATAAAAAATGCTAAACATGAGTGAATGGAAGCGTAAGAGTAAATAACTATTTCAAATCATTATTATAATTTATATAAAAATTGCTAAACACAGCTGAATGGATGCCTGCATCGCTATTTCGCTACCGAGTTATCGCTAAAGCATAATTTCATCTCGTTAGTTAGGGTGTGCGAAGTGCCATTTTTGTGCAATTCTGGGATTTTTTTTTTTAAGTGAAAATAGGTCGATGTGTACATGGATACCAAGTATGTGCAATTCTTAAAAACGAGTCAAGCAGTGGGTGATTCTGCACTTTACACAAAATTCTATTGCAGACTTTTCTTCATGGGCATTTCCCAAATTGTTAAATCCATAGGATATCAAAAAAGGATTTAAAATCAAAAAAAGGATTTAAAATCAAAAAAAAGGAATTAAAAATTAAACTAGTATTTCAATGGCGTCTTAAGAAATTTGAAACAATATTAACTTACGCAATCTGAAATAAGCGCGTACACTAGATTTGGCGCGCTGTTAAATGACACGTTTGCTAGATTTGGCGCTTTTGCGCATATATTTTCTCATAAATTTTTTTTACGGTCCTCAAAACGGAATAGTACCAGTTATTCGCTATTAGACTTCCTTTCTTGCGTTAGGGTTGCCGCGATTATTTTTGGCAGCATTGGCATCAACAATAGTTTGGCGATTTTTTACGGCCCTCGAAACCGAATAGTACCGTTATATTTTTGCTATATGTAAACCAAATACGTACATACTACATAAATATTATACTCGATTTTTAAAACTGCAAACTTCTTTCTCAGTATCTGTCATAACTTTATAAAATTTTAATTTACAATAAATTCATAGAATGTATCATCAAATGCTTACTAAGCCTTGAGAAAAATCGTAAAATTCCTGCAACAGGAACAGGTATTTGAAAGCTTGAATTATTAGTGTTATTTTGAATGTTTAAATAGTAATAGTTAGTATATAAAATGAAATGCATTAAAATTTCTGAAAATATATTAGTGTTAGGGATTGCTTGTTGACCATGAATATTCTTATTTATAATGATATAAAACTACATCCATCAATTAAAAAAATATTATTTCTGGTATTTGCTGTAAAATTTAGTATTCTGTGGCATTTCTCTGGATTCTGTTACTTTAATTTCTTATCATTTTCATAAAAGTAAGTGTGATGAAATGCATCTTCAGCTGTTCTATTTGACTTTGTAATGAAGGAAGAATATGAAGTTTTAAAAGGTTTTGAGATTTTAAAAAGCTTTATTCATTTTTTTTTATGAATTCATTATATTTTTCAAACTAGACTATTAATCTATTGAGGAAATTATTAGTTACATACAATTAATACACAAGGAAAAAGGTCTATCAAAGGGAAGATCAAAATATCGAAATATGGTAAATGAATGTAAAAATGGAATGACGTGATTGAGAACTATTTTGACAAAAAAATATACATTGACTATATGCCTTGTGAGAAATTCATTTGTATGAAACTCTGTTTTAGAGAAACCTGCCTTATAATGAGTTTTGTGCATAAAAGAAATTACGATTAATAGAAAATCATCAATGGTGTTTATACCATTGATGATTTTGTATTCACTGATGATTTTTATAGTATTCATATTACAAGTTTATAGAAGAAATTACATTATAACATATTTACAAAATAATTATGTTTGTAATAACAGCAACCAAACTGTGTAAATAATAAACCGAAGAGACTATAAATCTTAAGTTACTGTTTTTGATAAAAAAATCAACTGAAATTAGATGTAATCAAACACAATGCTTCTTACTCAACTATTTATGCGTTTTGAAGAGGCAATATTTCTCGATAATTCAACTGGTATGAAACACTGAAATGAAAACTTCATAATGAAGACATTCTGCTGGTTTGAATTACACAGTTGAAGTTTTAAGCTTAAAAGTACAAAATAATTTAAACATAATATGTTGAGTAATTAATAAAAAATATAAAATCTTTGTTTCTTTTACAGCTCCATCAGGTGCTCCAACTGAAGTACATGTACATTCAACTGGTGCTCAATCAATGAAAGTCACCTGGAAAGTAATTGTCTGCCAGATTTCTTTTAAAGAAATTCTATTGTAATTTTCTAAAATGCAAACAATATTTTCGAAATGGTTGCATAGAGTTATGTATACTATGTGTATGCAAAGAGGATTTTAAGAGCTTACCATGATATATGAAACATATTTTCAAAAGAAAACGAATACGCACTTTTAAAAGCGTAATGCATTTCATCTAAAATATGAATGATTGGAAACAGTTTTCTTGATTAATGTACAAAATCTATCTAATTACATATTTACTAGTGTTAGGTTTATAGTACGTATTTTACTGAACACACATTTCTCCAAGCGTATTTCATTGAATATACGAACTACCTGTACATTACTTCGACATTGAAGAGGGTACAGGCCCAATTTTGTAGACCTTAAATCTTATTTTTCGGCCACTTTAGATTTCTCTTGTGAGATCAATGCAGCAAGATCATCGGTGTTTTGCATAAAGGACTTCTTAAGCATTATTTGCGCATAAATTGTAAGGCAATACAAAAATTCCTTAGGCAGCTGTAAACTCTGAAATCAACTGGTTAGGACTCATATTTCTGTAATAATTGGTAGTTATGGGTAAAACGTAAATGAAATTAAGAAGCAGTTTTTTTCCTCTTACCAACTTATCTTGTCTCATTAGCAAGACTTTTAGAGGCTTTAAAAATTGTCTCCAGACCTCAGAGATTCAGTTGGAAAACTTTCAGCTATATTGTCACTGCCAAAATTGCTTATTCATTGGTCTGCATTTATCCAACTCAAGGCTTTTGGAAAATGTCACTTGTTGGCGCATATTCATTTTGATTTTATAAACAGCGAAATCCAATTTTGAACTGAAGAATTTCATGAGAAAACATAATTTGTGTATTATCAGTACAATTTTTGCGTCAAGGCGCTAAATGTAATTTGAGAGTTAGACACAGATTACTTTAGAGGCCCCGTTGCTCAAGTTTTCCGGAGAAAAGAACAGTGTTATAAGGATTTTCAGAAAGACTTAAGGGCTCTTCTAACGTGAAGCCATAGGCAATAACCAGGCCCTGCTTTGATGTTTTGAGTTGACGTCGCGTCATTTTTTTTTCCAATTTAGAAGATAATCAAATTAGATTTTGTAATTACGTACATATTTTTGTACTAAACACCCTTTTGAAATAAACACGAATAATTGATTTTTTTATGAAACACCATTACTCGTTTTTACTTAGAAGTAATTTTGGACATTAGTGTGTTTGAACTCCATTTCAGAAATCTGCAGGACATATAAAGTACAAAATTATATAAATTATGGCTTATATACCCTAATAAAGTAAAGAAATTCTTTTTGTCTCACATTCAGTTTGCAAATTTTGCATTAATTCATCGCTGAAACTTTTAAACTGAAAATTATAGTTATTTTAATAAAACGTGTGAAAATTCTTTAAAGGTAAGAGTTTGATTGACATTTTTCAGTCAGTACGTGAGATGTGTAAAAATTCTAACATAAAATTTCTATTGGTTTGCCATCACAAGGCCTTTTCGAATTTTTTTTTGAAATTTTGCACATGTTCACATGGTTTGAAATATGATAAAAGTGGGAATATTTTAGGAAATTTCACAGAAACATTTCTTTTATGTAAGAATAATTAAAAATGAAAGATATTTTAACAATGTGCCAACAGTATAATATTTACTGAAATTATTTTAATAATTTTAATATAAATTGTTTCGCAGTTTGTTTATAATTTTAATGTATATTTAATAATATGAAAGACAACTTAAATTTTATGCTTTCATTATAAAAAGGGATAATATTGCTCATAGGCCACAACTTGTTATTAATTACTTCATGAATCTAGTATCTATTGCTTTATAGCTGACTGCGTTAACAATTAAATAAAAGTGTTGCATAAAAAAAGAAGCTAAATGTAATTTTAAATTTATTTGTTTTATATCGCGCATTGTCCTTTTAACAAATAAATAAATTTTTTAGTGTATGAAACACTCTACCAGGAAGTGCAAATAATTTTGCGAAATACTTGGTTGCATATCATAACACAAAGTTGCTTGCATTCAGTGTTTTTATAATACACAATTTTATCCATATATCATAATGCACGATTTAATTTAATTATCTGAAGTATATTGTGTTGTGATAAAAATCTGGGTTATAAGTCGAATATTTACTAGGCATTTATCATTATGCATTTATCATTCAGTGTTTTTATAAAACAAAATTTTCTCCATATATCATAATGCACGATTAAATTTAATTATCTGAAGTATATTGTGCTGTGATAAAAATCTGGATTATAAGTTGAATATTTACTATGCATTTATCATTATGCCTAATATAGTATTCTTGTAATTATGCATAAATACATACTTAAAATGTGCACATCTAATAACTGCATGCATACCTTCAATTTTATTAATGAAACTGAAAATAGAACTTAATAAAATATAAATTTTAAAATATAGTAGAATACTGTGAAAGTGCTCAATATCTTAAATCCCGGACAAAAATTCTTAATCTTCATGTACTTTTTTTAAGAATCTGAATTAAAAGTAGCTGTCATAATTCATCGTACTTAAATGTTGCTTGATTTAGAACAAAAATGGTGCATTATCGCTACATTTTATACTTTTTACAAATTTCTGTTTAGATTTGTAGGATTTCTCTGTTAATCTCGCTAAATATATCAATTCTATGATATATCTTTGCTAGGTGATGAAATAACTTAAATCTACACAAATTAAATTAAATCTCTCAAACAACTGGCAGTTATTTTTATAAATGAACTAGTACAAAAAATGCATTAATATATTTACATTAAATATCAATTCATTAGCCGCCACCTGAAGAGACTAGAAACGGAGTCATCAAGGGCTATTATGTTGGCTACAAGATGTCTGCGAGCCAAGAACCTTATACTTTTAAAAAATTTGAGAAAGCTCAAGAACAGCTGTCGACATACATTACGGGCCTTCAGCCTTTTACACAATACGACATTGTTATCAAAGCTTTCAACTCTGCTGGAGCCGGTCCAGAATCTACGAAGATCATTGGAAAAACATTAGAGACAGGTATTTTTTTCTTCTAATTTTCTTCTTTTTTCTTGGCATGTTCTTATCTCTTTTCTTTTTATGAAAACTTTACATTTTATGAATTTTATGATTGCATATATATTGCAGCACGATCGTATTCTCTAATAGTGCTTATGGTATAAATAGACAGAATTGAATTCTAACCTAAATTAGAGCCCGAAATAAAATGTGTTATGAATTTTCTATATATACACAGTGTGATGTTCTCATTCATATACTCATTTCATGTATCGGTTTCTTTCATTTTACTTTGTTCCATGAATAAATTTATCTGTTGCGAAAAAATAAAAGGTTAATTTCTGGTAGAGCGGTAGAAATTAATGCAATTTAATGTTTATGAACAGAATGTCTGAAATATGTTATTCCATCGAATAAATTTAGTTATATAATCATATAAACAATGCTTCTTCACTAAGAAAACTTAAGAAGAAAGAAGATAATTTATTTCTTTATATTTCACTTTAACCTTTTCTTATACTTCTTAGCTCCACCAACGTCGCCAGTAGTTCAGATAATTTCAACAACTTCGTCTTCAATTGATTTTAAATGGGAGAAAGACGCTAAAGACAAATCTGCAATTACAGGTGATTTCTTGCCTACATTTTTATATTCAAGGATTTTCATATATTGTTCAAATATAAAAAAAATATCTACATTTCTCAGAAATTAAGTACATTATTATATTTAAAAGAACTGCATTTGAAATATTTCATTAAAAATGCTAGACGATGAAATGCAATAAATCTATTAATTTCAGTACTTTTACTGATATTGTATAGTTTAAACTTTATGTAAGCATCCTGTAATCTACTAAGAAATCTATTAACTTTTTTCTATTGATTCAACATGCTTCTATGATTTAGTTAGCAATATAAAATCATTTCTGTTTCTTTGTTTTGTTTTAATATAATTATAAATAGAACTGCATATCATGTTTTTGAATAATAACACAGCTTTCCCTTTTCCTACGCAATTTCAAATTAATAATTCTTTTCAAATAATTTTTAGGTCTTCAAATAAAAAACAGAAAAGTTCAAAGAAAATTATAGTAATTTCTTTTACACAGTTAGTTTTTGTCTATTTTGAAAAATTTAATACAATATAATTTCAACGTAAATTTGTTGAATATGTATGTTGATATCTATGGTATATTCCTTTTATGAATTTCCTAAGGTCTACTTTAAATAACCCTATTTCATTTTATGCTTTCCTGTTTTAATTAAAACTTTCATTATATTTATTATTGTATTATTACTTTAATCTTGTGTTTTATTTCCAAATATCAAAGGTGAAATTTTCAGCAAACATATTACCTTAATTGGAAATTTTAAGCATTATTAATTTAAAATTATTGGTGAATGCAATTCATATTGAATTTCTTCTTTGAATGCTAAAATAAAAGATAATAAGTGCATTATAATCTTAAATATTTTATAGTTTTTGTATAAACTATTTTTTTGCACTTCCTTAGTATTTTACACATTCCAAATTATTAAAGATTTCAAAAGCGTCTAAACTTTCATTAGAAGACAATAACAGTGTTTTAAGTTACATATAAATTTACCTGTAAGATTATATTTTAGGAAGATTGGTGCAAATTTATAAATTCTGAAATATTATAATTGCGTAAGTGCATAGTTGTTGTTTAACATTTCAGAGCATGCAGAACAAAATAAAAGTAAATTTATCCCCATGTTCCATACAATAACTGTATCAAATTGAAATGTCTAATTACTCCTCTTAATGAAACATAATTCAAAATTTGTAACACTTCCTTTTCAAAAATCCATTATCATTTGATTTGATTGAGTACTAAATCAAAATTTTGAGCAAGCTTTACTTTTCCTGAAAATCTTGGAATCCTATGTTCTATAATGAATGTTCTATAATATATCTTTATGTTCTATAATGAATGAACAAAGGACCTACTAAGTAACTCCTCTAAATTTATGACAATTTATATTCTGTTATTTTAAATATTAGTTTGGCATGAAGGAATAATTCCCAGAGACTTTTGTTTAGCATGTTACTAAAATTTTACTGATTGTTAGGATATAATCTGTAAAATTTTAGTAACACTAACCTTTTATATTTCTTTTAAACTCTTTTGCGTTTCTATTAAATTTCTAATTATATATAATGCAATAAAATTTTAAATAAAGCAATTTGATAAGTATGTGATGTGCCTCTGACTGGAATAAATTAAGAAGTGACTTATGCAATATTAGAATTTCGAAAGAATTCTGTTTTGTAAAAAGAAAAATACCGAATTCCCGTAATTAATTAAAGAAAACATTTTAAATCCAAATGACTTAAACACACATGTTTTTATTGTCATACATATATATTTATATATACCTGAAGCAACGTGCATTTTAATAGCCAAAACGCTCTGCAGTGAGATTGAATACTAATAATCTTAATTTAGCCCTTAGTTTAACATCAATGTAATTCAAAATCCTAAAAAGACCTGAAATGTACTAACCCAATTTCTTGTAATTTCATTTCCGATTAGAATACACTCTGCATTATAAAACTGACGATGGAGAATGGCAACAGCAGCGGCTAGGTAGTAGGCAAGACCATTACACCCTCAATGGTGTTCGATGTGGCACTCGTTACCACTTATACATGACAGCTTCTAACAGTCTAGGAACAGGAGAACCAAGCAAATCTGTTTCGGCTCGAACTTTAGGAGCAGGTAATCTATAATAAAAAGTTATAAATGTTTATTAGAGTTATTTCTTGATTTTTAGGTAACGAAAATTCAGTTTTCTATACCAATTGCAAATTTTCTTTTGATACATTTTCGTGTATAATTATGTTAACTTATCACACATTCGAACGCAGTCAATGCAATTTTGCAATAGAAACATGTATATGAATTGAATAATAAGTATCTCTATGCAGTGCATAAAATATTGCATATATTCGGGTATGGCAAAGTAAAATAGTTAATGAAGACGATTAGTCTGTGCAAGTTAAAAAATAAATCAATATATGTTGCATAAATTTGAAATATACATGCATTTTTTTATTTGCATTAATAGCAGATGTCAATAATACATTGTGCCTTTTAAGTTTATGAAAAAAATATATGTAAACAAGAAAATATTTTAAATTTTACGCGTCTAAAGCTGATGTACAACGAATAATCAAATATATTATAATTTATACTATATTATGAATTAATGTGGTCGAAAGATTTTTGTTGGCGAAGCGAAAACATTAATTTTAACCGAAAACAAATTTGGGTCAGTCAGATAATAAAGAATGCATTTTAATATATTAAAAAATATAATTAAAATATTTTTTAAATGTAGTTTAAAATATTAGAAAATGTAGTGTAAAATATTTAAGAATATATTTAAAATATTAAAGATATAATTTAAAATATCAATTTCAAATTTAATATTTCACTTGTTTTCCGTTTTCATCATAACATACTATAAATTAAAAATTTAATTAGAGAAAAATCCAGGAAGTGAAAAGCCCAAAACTATGCTCATAAAATAATGACTAATGAACATATATCTCGAAAACGAACTCTTCAGGAGTTTTATATAAATCATGTAAAATGAACTATTTAAAATAGGAATGAATTAAAATAATAATAAAACTTTCAAATATTAAAGAAATTCCTCTTTTATCGTGGTAAATCTATGTTTTATCTCTCTTTTTGAGTGTCCTGCTGAAATTTTTATGAACATAACTAAATAATGGCATGATTTCACTGAATTCAAGCTTCAATTATTCATTTCTATATTCTAATAACTTTTTTGCACATTCCAGCTCCCCTTCATGACAATCCTTATTATTCGTTATTATTTCTGGCACTTCTGCCTGCTTCGATCGTCTGATAAAATCCTATTGCTATTCTTGCTACTTTCTTCTTCGATCCTCGTGGCAATGTGACCGAGCTTTATTTTCAAATATTTGAATTCCAAAAACAACTTCATCTAGTTGTGGTCTTGCCACTCTCTCATCCTACTGGATTACGATATGAGCGATCTTTTCCTTCAGCTATTACTGCGTAAGCGTAAAGAACTTATTTTCTGTTTACATATTAGCTATAAATTTTCTTGCACTAAATATCACAAGCCAAAATGTCAAATCTTATTATTTTCTTTAATTAATTATCTAGGTACTTCTAAAATGGATTGCGCACAGATAATTCGCATACGAATGTTTTGAAGTGAAATTTATCGTTTATTTTCATCATTACTATTGATGTGTCAGCATTTTCATAAACCGTTAGGTTGCAAACATTTCATAAACGAAAGAGTTCTGATTGTTAAATTCGCTTTGTACTAACTGGTTTGATTCTTAATTTTACTTTGTACTTTGCGATTTCTCACATTAAATTGTAACTTTAATGTTTCTATTGATAACTTCATATGTAATGCTTTACAAGCACTTTCTTACATTATATATAATTAATTCTTTTTTCCTTAGCTCCTATGTCACCTCATGAATCAGCCTTCCTCCAACCCAATTCGACCTCAGTGACTTTGAATCTTAGAGCCTGGCAAAGCGGTGGTTGCCCCATCCGACATTTTGTTGTGCAGCATCGCCCTAAATACCAGAACCAATGGACTACTGTATCCGAGAAATTGGATATGCCGAGGGACTTTTATGTGGTCCGGCATCTTTCGCCGGACAGAGAATACGTCGTCATGGTAACCGCTCACAGTGATGCAGGACTCACGCAAGGGGAATATTTGTTCCGGACGTTACCTGCATCAGCAATAGGTACAAATCTGAACTCGGGATGAGTAAAATCCTGAGATATAAACGCATATAAAAATGCGTTTTCATTGCTTTCATAAAATTCATTAATAAATATTTAGGCAAATTCAGAAACTATGTTTAAACACATTTTTCTGTAAGAACCATTCAGATTTTATACATCTTTAATGCTCTTTATATTCCATTATAATTTTAAAATATTGAAGAATAGGAATGTAGTGAGTTACGAAAATAGAATGAAATTGTATGTAATTATATAGTGTATAAAATCACATGATAAATAGAAGACGAATTACAGTGGGGAAAAGGTGATTATTTATACTGCCTGACTGAAGGCATGTATATATTAAACAGAAACACTCAATCTTCACACACTATTCAGTACTAACTTGATTCCTGTGATCTTAAAAATATATTTTTCTAATTTTGGAAGTCAGCATAATGCTATCACCTGTGTATTCCTTTGACTTCGAAGAATAAATATACTTCCTTAAAGCAGGGGCAAGTAGGTTTTATAACTCTCAGATCTGTAGCATTTTAACTTCTTAAAAAATCGCATAAAAGGAATTTATTCAATTTACATTCATTCATTCGTTAAGGGAGTCAGAACTACTTTTAACTGGGATTGTTTTCTGTAAAAGCATTTTCCGTGGAAACTTATCTTTTAAAGCTTATGACTAAACGCGCCATTGATTAAGACATTTTGTTGACGATTTTTTTCAAATAAAATTTAGAATTCTACATGGGGATATTTAAGGCAGAATTTTTTCTTAAAGTCAGCAAAAATCAAAGACTTTGCTGTTCACAGTTAGAAATATTTAGTTAGAATTTTATTTTCTGCGTTCCATGACGATAATATAACAACAAAATATGAAATTAAAAATAAGCGAACGCGTTTCCTCTTTGGTGTTTTAGCCCGAACTTGCAAAACTGCTGCTTGGGTCTGTAAGAATTCATTTATTAAATAGAAGATTTCGCAGTGGTAATTCTGATATTAGAGCTTCAAGCCAAATACGAGAACAAAAATTAATTAAATAATGGGATGATTCTTACATGAATATGCAGAGTATGCATGCAAGTTTCAAAAATCCAAGAAATGGTAAAATGAATTTAAAATTTGGCTGTTAAGTTTCCTACGTGATAACTATTATGCACTCAACTTTAATTACCACTTAAATTTAATTAACTGAAATTAAAATTAATATTTAATTAGTTTATTTTCCCTAAAAGGAATTGTCATTTACCTTTCTATTTCGTTTACAAGAGCTATTAGTTTTTATTTATTATTCTACAGTAAGTGCACAAAAAGCACATAAGCTGTAAGTGTAAATGGAATTGTTCTGTAAATAAAAACTGCATCAGATCTTGCTGATGCAATATGATCTAACATTGATGATCATCTAGGTAAAAGGTAAAAAAATGAAGTGAGAGTTATTGTCCTTTTAACCGGAATTTTGTAATATGAAATAAAAAAAGAAATAATCTACAGATTTGGAGGAGTTTGCTGTTTAAAAAAAGATCGAACCGTCAGGTAAACAGCCAATATTTAGCTACTTCTCCCTATAATATTGAGATAAAAATGGACTAATAAATATAACTAATTTTTTAAGATATTTAGCAGGATTATGCTCGTCAACACATTGCATATCTAAATTCCGGTAACTGTTCTACATACAAAGTCAGTAATGATTTCATTTCATCGTGCAAATAATTAACGCATGTAATATTTTTTATTTATTTATTTATTAATTATTATGATTTATTATTATTATTATTATTTTATTTTGCAAATGTTTTATGCTCTTTGTAAATTATAAGTATATTTTTATTTATACTATATGTTTTAGCAAGTTAAAAAATGTCTAAATTAATGCTTTAGATAGATATTTCAATTATTATGCTTTACGCTTTTCAGTATAAATAAAGTATAGTTGATTAGACAAATTTAAACCATAAGCATTTTTTTGAATACGGTCGTGCTGAACGTCAGCGTGCTTCTTTTAGCAATAGATTTGAAAATTTACGTAAGTTTAATATTTTTTCTTTAAACAAAATGTGTAATTTATTTACAAATAACTACAACAATATCTGGAATATTGTATCAGTTTACCATGTGTAATACTTATATTAAAAACATTATTTTAGTTTTAAAAAAATAAATATTTTTAAAACAATATTTCATTTTTGAACAAACTTCTCTTGCAATTTAAAAGAAGCACGCAATTGATCTTTTCTTATTTATTTTAAATTTCAAGCAACTTATCTCTGAATGCAACGTAGACTCTTTTTTTTTTTCTTTCCTTCCCAGTGCCAACTTCTTCTCCTGCCTTCGGCAAACGAGAAACGGATTTGCCTTTCTACAAGAATGTGACGCTTGTAATACCAATTGTAGTTTCATCTTTGGTGCTTGTCATCGTTATTTTTATCGTTATAGTTTGTCTCCGAAAGCATTCCGAAGATAGAGAAGGAAGATTAGGTAAGAATTTCCAGCTTTAGTTACTAATAAGTTTACTTGCGTATAGATGGCGACACTAAACACTTAAATCAGAAATTCATCTATGTATAGAACGAATTGTTATGCTTTTCATTTATAGATGGCGCCACTATGTAACAGTAAAGTAAAAAAGAGAGACTCCTATTTGCGCTTTTGTATTTTAAAACTATTTTGAAACAATATATTCGCGGAGGGGGGAGGAAGTTCAGCAAAATAATTTAGCAATTGCAAAAATAACATTCAGCAATCCCAAAAATTGTGATTATTATGCAACAAACTGTAATAAATATAAACAAAATACAAACGTATAAAATAACATATTTTCCTTTATTTGCCGCATTTAATCATTATAAACTTAAAATTTGTGAACATTGTGCAACAAATTATTGCAATGATAAGCAAAATGTAATTGTATAAATTAACAGATTTTTTCCCTCTGTATTGATAATTTTAAAGGGGGGAAAATATTTACATGTTGCACAGAAGGATCTTATTTATTTTATTAATTATTTTTATTACGAAAAGGAATTACATTTATTGTTACATCTAACTTCACATACGGTATTATTCACACAAACGTTTTCGGTAAAACCATTTTGAAGTGCTAACAGAGGTTTTTCACTTTATCTCGTTTTGAATATTGCAGTTATTTGAATTTTTCCTTATTTTTGATACTCTCTACATCATATGTTATCAGTTATGAAACTCAGTAATTACTTTTTCAGATTATGAAAATAGGAAAGATGCGTTAATGATGAGCGATATGAACAAACAACTCAACATCAAATCATCGAAACCATCTCATTATTCTTGTCCTGCAGGTGAGTTGTAAAATGCGCAACCTCACACCAAATATTTAATTCAGCTGTATTAAATATGTGTAAAAAAGGAAATTCTGATATTCAAAAATTTTACAACTATATTTGTATCGGTTATTTTAATTAATTATATTTTACAACGATATTTTAATTCTGAAGATTTTATATTTTATAATATATATTATTCTAGCATATAAAATTCTTTGAAAACACATCGAATTTCGAATAACAGGCTTTTACATTTTTTCTAAAGAAATTGCGCTCTGTAAAGAAATGAACTATATAGTTTAATAACAAGATTTTTCACTTAGTTT